CGGAGGTGAAAATCTAATGAATTAAGGAAGGAAAATCAAGGTTATTGACAACCAATCATGTGAGTATCTGTGTTCACAACCAATATTCACGTGTAGCCATGACAAGAGTCTGACACACAGATATGAGATCACCTCGCAGAAGAGGATATGTTTAATAAAACTCCTAGTCTTTAATTTCAACTGGTAAGGGAGATGGAGCAATCCTTTAACATCATTTGTCGCACTCCGTTGTAGCTTCTCAAGAAGAGTGAATTCATGCTTTTGCCAGGGGTGCATTACCCTAACGCCGCATTCAACGTGTGGGCGCACGTAAGCGTTGGGTATTTGTTTAAAGTAGGTAAGATCCAACAAGCCAAACGCCCTCCGAAGTAAGTCCATTTGTGAGCTGGCTTTTTCACAGTCTTCTTAACTTATGTCTTGAGTATGCAGTATCGTCGTGCACGAGTACTTGAAGTGCGGTCTCATTAGAAGCGCGCTGCAGACAGTGTTCTCCTAGTCGATATTCGCAAATGTTCGGGTGGCATAAGCTCATTATTTTGCACTTAACAGTGTTAAACTCAGGCATGTTCTGGGTCGACCAGTCGTATGCCCAGTTGAGATCAATTTGCAGTGATATTTGGTCGGCTACTCGTTTGATTGCGCGCCAAATCTTGAGGTCGTCCGCGAAGAGTAGAAATTTAGACTTTAACACCCCTTGAGGTCGATTATGAACACGGGGAATAAGCGTGATCTTAACATCGAATCTTGAGAGACGCCACAGTGAAATTTTGTCGTGTAGGAAATGGTTCTAATAACCTGCACTTCAAGCGTCGTTGGAGTATGAGTGAGGGAATCCAGCCTAAGATAGGGGCACCGATTCCACAGCTCTGAAGATTGTGAAGAAGAATCCGGCGATCCAGCTAATCGAATACCTTTGAGAAATAATGTGGCGTTGACTCCTTCTCTAACGTCGACGTAATCGGTCGGGCTAACGAAAGATTCATGATACATGGGCGGTTTTGGCGGAATCCATGCTGCTCTTGCACGACGATATGACGCCTTCCGAAATAAATCATAAGTGTACCTGCAACCCAATTCCACGACATTAGCAATTACAGGAAGAAGAGTAATCGGGCGGTCGTTAGAAGGCGCTGCACGTCTGTCTCCCTTGTAAATTGGAGTAACTATTCCACGCTTCCACATAGTTGAGACTTGCATCACCCCGGGAGAGCGCTGGAAAAACGGAGGTAATGATTCAGCCAAGCTCGGACAGCTAACATCAATGACTTGGGTCCCATACTATCAGGCCCACGTGAACTGTACTCGCGTAGTAACATCATTCGTTTCAGTACATCTGCGGCTTTGAAAGAGATGTGACTAAGTCCCAGCGGTGATGTGATATGTGTGAAAATGATATAAAATAGTGATACCCAGCACCAAGTAGTTCAGTCGAGGCCGCGGCGTTTCTTGTCACCCTGATTTTAACAGTGTCTAAAAATTTTAGGATCACAAGCAAGTCAAGCGGCTGCTGTCTGCTGATTCAAGAGACTGGCGTTCCACAGGCCCACATTTGTATTAACCAAACGCTGTTTGATGCACAGCGTTTTCAAACGTGACCACAAACTACAATGAGACTAATTTTGCTCTTGAATGATTTGTATGATGTAGTAAAGCTTACTTGCATGTTAGGCTTGTTTTTGGATGTGTAGCCGTGGGGATGACCTGATAGTGATAGTTTATATCACAGCCTATTTTACTCAAATGTTTGGTGCTTAGTATCCGATGTCTCACTAATGCGAGTCAACATGGAAGGGGACGGCATGTGGATGGCAGAATGCTGATACAGTAATACCTCCGTAAGTTGACCACTCAAGGGAATGGACCAGAGTGATCAACAGACGTAGTCAACAACGGAGGTGCTCTACCAAAACAGCGTACCCTAGTTTCCTTTTGTGAGTAGTATAGTATGAAATTTATTTTCATATAAACCCGTTTCGAACACATTAGACGTGGTCTAATGTAACGGCAAACGCAGTTAAACCATATAGTGTTAGAATAAATAGAAAGACAGTATTTCTCAAGTTAAATTATTTTTTGAAGAAAAAGTCAATCTTTGTTTCTCATGTCAAAAAGGTAAGTAGAAAAAGCGCTCTCAGCACAAGGCACACAGTAGCATTCTTGACATTTTGCCACAGCAAATGATTTCAGTTGTATTAAAGGATGTCCGACTTCATCTTCTTTCGGAGTATCTGGGATTTGCAAATCAGTCACTCAAACCTACTTCTTCATCAGCATCTTCAGGTGCTTATTCTTTGTTTCCGTAGCGGAGTATCACAGTGTCTCTTGGACAATAGCACCTGGGTGTGGTTCAGAGCAAGTTAACAAGTCATCATTCATTTTAGCCAACACGTTAAGATCTATTCCTTCGCATTCTACTAATGGTGATGGAATGTCTAATAGGACGGCGGCATCCAGATCGATAGAACAAATCCGGGTTTTTAGAAACACTGTATTATTTCTGGTTAAATTTGAACTAAGCGGAACTAAACCACAGCATCCAGATCATTAACTGAAGCAGCATATGCAGTTCCTTACGCATGAGAATCACTAGTATGCACTGTTGCCCTAGCTCATTGCATGAACTGGGCTCGGTAGCGTATTTTGCATATTTTGTTAATCCCTTGATCCAGAGGTTAAATGTATGAGGTAATGTTTGGAGGTAGAAACGTGCATAAAATTTGTGAGATTTTTTACATCATCGTGACTAGGACTGTTGTCTACTGTAAGGATAATTAATCGTTTCTTCTTCATCATTTCTTTGTCGATACTTTTGTTTCACTGCATCAGCAGTGGGAGCAGTTATTCACCCAGATTGGTTTGATCTACATGTGACTGGATGGTTTTCAGGATTGCAATTTTTGAACTCACGTGGTCTCGCTGATTTACCAGTAACCAGAGGCTTTGGCTTCTCCAGACTTGAGTTAGTGCAATTTGAGTTAGCACAACAGAATTGTGTAACGTGCTTTGTAATGTTTTCCACTTACATTCCTCCCCCTTTATAAGAAGACTTTTGTTACGCATCATCTTGGGAAAGAGACCGCCATCGTAAGTGTTAAAAATGTGATAATTACCACATTGATGAAGTTGGAAAATATTTCTATGAAGCTTTGAACAAACTCTTCAGGCACTTCATTGGATTCACCACATAAAACTCAGCAGGTAATTTCATGTTGGAGTTTAAATTTCTCTAGCCAACCATTAGATGCCTGGAAAACTGCAACCCCAAAATACTTGTAATAACCTTGTAGCAATTTCCCGAACCATAGGACCAGAAATCCAAGCGTTAAATTGAAGCAGCGCAGTGTAGCCTCATTGACTGCATCGTGTGATTTCTCGCCTCTTCCGCTGTAGATCGCCTGTTTCCTTATCGTATTCTTTCAAGTATTTGTGTTTAGGTACTTAGATGTTGCTAACTTGTCTTGCTAACTCCAAAATGCTCGGCCGTCTTTCTCTAGCTACTGCCTTCCAGAAAATGTATCAGTCTAATCTTTTCCTTCAAAGTCAACTCTCAGAGCACTTTTCTTTGGGCCATAATGTTGTATTACTTGTAATGACTGCTCCTAAATTGTTCAAAGCACGGAGTGGATCTAAGGTCTACGCTTCTATTTAGGTAACATTAATTACCTACAATAACTAACCGCAACTAGTTCCACTCTCGGGTCGACACTAAACAGAACCTGATAAACGCGCGACACTTAATGTGGGCGTAAAGGTCAATCTCGCCACAATCCAAGATAATAATGTAGTGGTGCTTAGATCTGGTGGTTAATCGAGGGTTTGTTAGCCATCCAAACTCTTGATTGCGGCCAGTGCGATGAGTGGACACATATTCTTGGGGGTGGACAAAGGCTTGTCTGTGTATGTGGACATATGAGGGAGATTGGACACTAATCGTTCTAGGTCATTCCGTAGGCGCGGATTTGTGGGGATCCAAAGGAGATTTTGATTGCACAACATCGAAAAAAAGCTCGTCAGTCCGGAGTTCCGCAGTACAAAGTTGACAAAGCAGACGAATACATTCTCTTTAATATACGGTTAATTTTCCGTTAATATACAGCTATGCATTGTCAAATACTTGCTCATCTGCAAATGTTGGAGCATATATTTGTACCCACACGAGTACGTATGTTGATCTAGCGTTAAGCTTGTTAAGTTTAATTTTACATCATTTCTTCAAAGCATTAAGAAAATTGTCACTTATTACAAATAATGTTATTATTATTGCAGAACACGTTTTACAGATTCATGTGATTGCTGTACTATAGCACAAGAAGTAATAAAATTAAAGTGATCCAGCCATTGGGCAATAAAACGGTCCCGGGGACGCACATTGACCTAGGTAATAGGCGCGCGCTTAAGTGTTAACGGTCGGGACAAACGCGCACATGTACGTAGAGAACATGATGTATCCTTAAACGTATGTATGATGTATGCTTAAACGATGTATCCTTAAACTGATTGCAGTCCCACTGCACATCGTGTTAGCGGAACAAACGAGCCATTCGGGAACCTTTGAATGGTAAGCCCTCAAGTGGTAAACTAATGGAGGTTGAATTATTACTGAGAGTCATAGCCCAGATGGTCAACATACAACCTATAGAGATGGTCAACATACAAGCTATGAAAATTTGGTCAACATATAATGGTGGTCAACTCTGGAGGTTTTACTGTACTTACTGCGTTTGGATAAGGTAAGTAAACAGAATTGAAAGCTTATCACTCAAGTTGGAATACTAAATCCCGGCTGACTGTGCCACTGCAGCCTAATGGTATGGGCAATAATACAGGGTAAGCAAACCAGGATGTTCACAGTGAACGCCTAAGAAACCTTAAGGTGCCAGAGTAATGCTGCGCTGGTTTCTCGTGCATTGAGGAACTAGGCTTTTGCGCTGTCTGTGAACATTCCGCTTGTATACCATAAACTTCAACTAAAATACATTATGAAGACTGATTCATCTTACCTCTTTGGAGAGCAGTTTGAGCTGTGTGTGGGGGCGATCTACATAATCAAACCAGCTGAACAACGAATTGTCCACAGCAGCACTGATTGGTAGAACAACGCTGAGATAAGATGAAATCAGATTCCTGCATGAGTCGCTTCCAACCGGCTTAGCTGCAAACACAAGGCATGCCGGACGTGGATGTGGAGCCAAAACCAACCCGTTCGCTACACTTCGGAAGCGCAGGCACACCTTCAATATGTGAACCGACCCACTGCCATCATTGTGCGGCTTATTTCCGATGGCTGCGGCAGGACACAAAGAAAATAGATTAAGTGACGTCTCCGTGTGAAAAGTGAGTAACCAATATTCACCGGATAAATACTGTTTGTTATCACCCAGTTTCCTTCAGCGCTCAGTTTCAAATGAGCTCCGGAAACTTACTGAACTCGAAAAGCGTGTGACTAACAACTTCTGAACAGAAATCAACTTGGCTCGCGAAGTTGAATTGAGGGGAACTACTTGGCGTAATTTGGCATGCTAAAAGTATCTGGTGTTGAAGGCAGGTGCAGCAGGAAAGCTGATGTAACTCGCCGCGAGGAGTAATTTATTACTTTTTACTAGGGCACAGAAGCGATATATTAGTCATTCTGCAGGCGGACTAAATTTGGTAACCTATTTTCTGACAGCTGAAACTAGTAAAAGGTGATGCAATAACGTAAGTCAATGACACTAGGAAATGCCACATAAAGGGGAGAGAGGGAGGAAGGAACTAGTAATGGTTGCGTTTCAGTTGAAATGATTTCGGGAAACGCAGCTAAACAAGAGGCTGCGCTGTGTTTAATGGTACTGAACACTAGGTGCAGCAAACGGACTGCTGTTTGAATTCTTTGCAGCAACCTAGATGTAAGCAGATGATGAACCTTGGGGAATAAAGTGGTGTTCACGGAAGTTCTTGGCATATAGTGATTGCTTGCGGTTACTTTAGTTTATCTGAACGCAATCACAAGTCAGTTCTGCAGACTGTCTTTAGTATTCTCGACACATTCCTAAGGTAATTTGGAAAACGAATTCGTGAGCGGGTGCAAACTAGCTTATTTGATGAGGATACTATGATCGTCTGTAGGTATTCTGGACACAGATTGATTGCCAAACCCGTGATTTGATGTTAAATAGTAAAGGGTTCTAAGGTTATACAAGAATTGTGTCCATCATCTATGGACTCATATATCTACCATCTTCGATATAAGTAGGAAATTTGAGGCAATTAGTTGCCCCAAACAATCTGAAAAGCACAGTGAGGAGACGAAGCTCGGCGAATGCATGTACTTCGTATAGCCTTTTTAGTGACGATAAGCGTAACTGGGGAATAATACGATTGTAAACAAGTACAAATTAAAAACAAAATGAAAAGGCGGAAATCATTTCCCTAAGTCCGGGTAACCCTGAGGCTGACCGGTAGGTATTTTCGAACACACAACAGTTGTATCCGGCTTGTTGCGACAGAGTAGGCGAAACAGTAGAGATTTAGGGAGTAGCCTATACCGGGAGCGTGGAGAACGATTCCATAAGGTAGATCAGGTACAGTAAAAGATTCCCTATTACCTAGTTCAAAAAAGCGACACCGTTGACCCTCTAGCTAGGGGAACGGAGGATGCACAGCACACAGCAGTCGCGAGTTGCAAACGAAATGAGCGCCAAGCAAAAATGGCGATGAGCAGGTCAAGCATTCGAACTTAGCAATCAGTTCAACAAACCACACTGGTCGCCTGGGTATGCAATGAAATAATTTTAGTTAGACTTTTACACAGGCCAACCAGGAAACCTCCAGACTGCTACAGAGACGGAAATTGTCATGTCGCAGCAGAACTTTGAAAGGTGAGCAGACCTCGATCAGGTGACCAGAAGTTATTAGGGTTCTGCTGATCGAGACTTTTGGTGGCCCCTGTGAAATAGTAGCCTAAACTTGGCATGCTGCTTGCGCCGTTCCGTTCTGGATCCATTTTGGAACGTCCTCCTTCCTACTGGAACTCAAGGTGCTATCGGTACTACCTGTGTAACTAAATCCAGTTAGATACGATTTGAGATGCACAATTGGAGTTTGCCATGGTAAGATGAGTTTCTTTCAGCGGATGTAGTGTTAGCTTACAGGTTCGTTCGATCATGATGACTAAGGCAGCACATAAGGTGCGCTGTGTGGCAGAGATCAGTCATCCGTTAGTCGTCAGTGATGTCACCCTTTAAATCGAGTTTCAAGAATATGTTCCTTTTAGGCACGGTAGACAATGGATCTCTCAGTCGGTCGATTTGCCTGTGTTTCTAGATTAACCTGCGGGATAGCCATTTACAACTGGTATACTAGTAATCGGTTCCCGTTCATCGGCCAGACAGTCAATCGAACATATAGGCCTGATAATCAAAGAAAATTTTCACAATTATCCGCTGCTAAAATGCAGGTATTGGTCGGTCCACATTGTTTTTGTATACGGATTTTTTTACCTTTCCGTTTACACACACTATACACGTTAGCTAGAGGTGGGAAACACCTCAGCTACTGTGCCGCAATACCTAAAAGAAAAACAGGGAATAAAATGCAACAGGTGCAATCCAGATGAGCTACCGGTAACGGATGGGCATCGTTCCGATAAGTTATCTGCCGGCTACTATGCAGCAAAAAAGTAATTTCCTATGCAAAATTAGAAAATGCCAAATAATCAGATTGTGGTTGGAGGAAGAGGCTAAGAGGGATGGGGTAGGACAAAAAAACTCACAGCACGAACGCCACTGAGATCGACTTCTAGCCGTATCAACAAGCGTATCCAGCCAAACGTGTTCATTGTCTTTCGGACCCCTACCAGGAAGCCGGAACGCTCCAACTGAGGCCAGCTTCGAAGTGAGGGCTTTCGTTCCTCTAGACCAAGTCATCGCTTGACTACCCCTCCTCTTCTTACATCCACATCCCCGGGGAGCAAACAACGCAGGTCGAGGGAGTCGGTGGGTTGGCATGCGTAACGCGTGGCCGAGCCATCGGATCCTGGTACGTGAAATAACGGTACTGAGCGGTTCATTTCCTTTTCCCGTACAGTAAACAAGGCGTCGAACACGCTCGTTGCTCACGCGGTGCTCCCACCAGAGTGAGCTAAATTGCGAAGGCACCGGTGCTCGAACGTAACTAGCCAGGTGTCACAACCGTACAGTAGGATCGAACGTACAGATGCATTTTAGACTCTACCCTTCGGGGCGAGATGCATCAAGATGCATCACCTACGACCATTATTATCCTTAACTCGACCACATGTTGTGCACAGAGCTAGTTGTTCATGGCTTCACGACTTTTGCCAGCTGGTTGCATCAATGAGGTCGGCCAGGTTTTCATAGTTGGTTACGACACGATATTCCTCGGCATGCTCTTTAGGATAATCCGCGTAGCACATGTAATGAAGCAATAGCGTCGCATGATCACTGCGGCCCAAAGGAGTATCGGTTATTAATCTCTCGACCATTAATTCTTCATTGGTGAATATTCGGGCCAACATGGATGGCCTGCTGCTTATCAGAGACCCGCCTGCAAGACTCGAGCTCTGTGCTCACTCTGCGATCCCCTTCAGGTGACGCAAACAGTATTTTCTCAGTGTGCCTGTCCGGTGACGATGCAGCTTCGAGCACCGGCCAAGCTGGTGTTCGCATTGCCCTGAGTCCCCGGGCTGAAGCTGCTCTGGTTGATTCGATTCCAATCAGTAGCCGGATGTGTGCGGTCCGATTGGCTGGCTCGTTTAAAGCTTCGAAGTCCCGCGGGACTAATAGGTGTCTGTTCATCATCGCTGCCTACGCGACCACAAACCAGTGATGTTTCGGTAAAGAACGACTTCTACCGGCAACTGACTCAGCTCCCGCGCCACAGTAGAAGCACGGACACTGTTGTGCTGGCGGGGGATATGAACGCACAAGTTGGAAAGTTGTCCACTGATGAAATGCATCTGGGCAGTCAGCACGGTGTAGGCTCCCGTAATGATAACGGTGAGCGATTACTTCATTTGTGTGAAGATGCTCGCTTATTTCTTTCGAGCACTAATTTCCGACACAGCACCCGCCGGAGGGTGACTTGGCGCCCACCAGCCTCGAACCAGCCTTGCACGCAGATCGATCACATTGCTGTTAGTTACCGCTGGAGAGGCTGCATCCAGAATTGTCGCTCGATTTGGAGCACAGGTGTGGACACCGATCATGTACTTGTATGTGCTGACATGCGGATGCGCTTTGGCGCACGCCCACGACGAAGCTATGAGCGCATTGACACCAGCCAACTGACAAAGCCAGCTGTTCTGAATGCTTATCGACGCACGCTGACATGCGAGTTGAGTAATCGCTCACTGGAGACAATTGATGGTCACTGGTCACATGTTCGCCAGACCTTACTAGAAGCGAGCAAGTCTTCATGTGGTATGTCTAATAGCTAACATGGACATTGGGTCTTTTCTCGGTCTCTGGAACTTATCGACGCTCGCCAGCATATCACGGCTGGAATCCAGCACAATGAAACTCGCAAAGAGCTCCGGGCAAAACTCCGCGCTAGCCTGAAGAGAGACCGCGAATCTTGGTGGTCTCATCATGCGTCAGAGATGGAAGTGGCCGCTGCCCTTGGCAACCATCGTAAGTTATTCCGTCTGATACGGGAAACGGGCTGCAGGAGACCTGGTGTTAGTGAAACAATTTGTGATGAGAGTGGACAGCCTATCCACAATTTGTCAAAACGTTTGGAGCGTTGGGCTGAGCATTTTGAAAAGCAATTTAATCGGCTAGAATTGTTCAATTCGCCTGTCACTGATCGCCCCGCTCCGTGGGCTGTCCCTTTGGATCCACCCTCTCGCTCAGAAGTCGAACGTGAGATCGGAATATTGAAGTTGAACAAAGGCGCGGGACCAGATGATCTTCCTCCAGCCCTCTACAAATTCGAAGGCTCTGCTCCTGTTGATGCTTTACATGAATTACTAGTGAAACTGTGGGAGCAGGAGACTGTCCTAACCGACTGGAGCCGCTCCGTTATTGTTCCCATCTTCAAAGGCGGCTCGCGCTCGGAATGCAGCAACCATAGAGGAATCAGTCTGATCTCCATCGCCTCCAAATTACTCGCGTCCATAATTCTTCACAGACTGACTGGCGCTCGTGAAAGCCAGATTCGTGAGGAGCAAGCCGGGTTTCGTCGTGGTCGTGGCTGCATCGACCACATCTTCACCTTGCGTCAGTTGTTGGAGCACCGTCACACATATTGGCGACCCACCGTAGTCGTGTTCCTCGACATCAAAGG